CAGATGTGTGCCAGGTGTGTCAGGTGTGTGCCAGCTGTGTGCCAGGTGTGTGCCAGGTGTGCCAGGTGTGCCAGGTGTGTGCCAGGAGCCGCAGGGTGGCACAGCCGGCTCCGTGCCGTGCCAGGTGTGACCCACGAGCTGGCGAGTGCCCTGGACGTGCTGCCCACCCTGAGCGCCCTGGCTGGCGCTGCCCTGCCCAAGGTGGCCCTGGACGGATTCGACCTGAGCCCGCTGCTCTTCGGGGAGGGGAAGGTGAGTCCTTCTCATTTAATTTAATTTAATTTAATTTAATTTAATTTAATTTAATTTAATTTTATTTTATTTTATTTTATTTTATTTTATTTTATTTTATTTTATTTTATTTCACATTATTTCACATTATTTCACATTATTTCACATTATTTCACTTTATTTCACATTATTTCACATTATTTCACATTATTTCACATTATTTCACTTTATTTCACATTATTTCACATTATTTCACATTATTTCACTTTATTTCACATTATTTCACATTATTTCACATTATTTCACATTATTTCACTTTATTTTCTTTTATTTCACTTTTTTTTTCTTTTATTTCACTTTATTTCACTTTATTTCATTTTATTTCACATTATTTTCTTTTATTTCACTTTATTTTCTTTCATTTCACTTTATTTTCTTTTATTTCACTTTATTTCTTTTCATTTCATTTCATTTTATCATTTTATTTTATTTTACTTTATTTTATTTCGTTATATTTCATTTTATTCAATTTCATTTTATTTTATTTCATTTCATTTCATTTCACTTTATTGTATCATTTTGTTTTATTTTATTTTATTTTATTTTATTTTATTTTATTTTATTTTATTTTATTTTATTTTATTTTATTTTATTTTTTGTTTTATTTTGTTCTATTCTATTTTGTTATTTTATTATATTCTTATTTAATTTAATTTTATTTTATTTTATTTTATTTTATATAATATAAATAATATAAAATAATATATAACAACAATAATAATATAAATATATAAATAGATAAACGGATAGATAAATAGATAAAACATAAATAAAATAAAATAATATATTATAAAATATATTATTTTATTCCTGATATCATTTATAAATATATATACATATTTATATAAATATATAAATATAATTAAAGCATTCATTTATTTATTTACTATATTTTCATTAGTTTTTATTCCCAGAATTTATTTTTAATTTAAATAAATTTATTTAAATTTATTTTTAATTTTATTTTAATATATACTTTTTTATTTCTTATATAATTTATATATTTTCATATGAAATTATATGTGTAAATATATATATCACTAATGAAATATTTATTTTCCTTTATTTTTATATATCTATTATTTTATTTATTATATAATTTATAAATATATTTATATATAAAATTATATCTGTGACTATATAAACAATATCTTCATATATAAAATTGTACCTATGAATATGTAAATTAATTATTTATAAAATTATATTTATTAATATATAAATAATATATATAGAATTCAAGGCAAGTTATGAGTGGACAAAATAATCCAAAAATTAGAATAAATTTTATATATAAAAATTATAAATATAATATCATTTAATTAAATATATAATAATATATTTATATAATAGAATATAATTTTATCCACAAAAAACCCAGATATTATCATTCTTTTAACTCCAGAAGGCTGGTTCAGTTCGCCCATAAATTAAAATATTATTAATAGAACTAATAAATTAATTAATAAATAAATTTATTTAGTAAATGTGACCCTGAAACTTTTTTTTTCTCTGTTTTGATTGCTGGATTTCCTCTGAGATGAGATTTTTGGGGATATTTCTTCAAGGGGAGTTCTGTTTATTTCAGTTCTTTGGGGTCAGGAGGAAAACTCTAAAGCTCGTTAGGATCTTGTTAATTAATTAATGTTAATTAATCTTGTTAATTAGGATGTTATCACAAAACTTGGCACAAATTTAATTCATCATAACTTTGTCTTCTTTGGCTCTGACGGCACAAAACGGCTCTGAACCACGTGGTTGTTTCATCTCTATATCTATTTTTACTTAATTAGTTTTAATTAATTTAATTTAGTTAATTTTATTTAATAAACAAAAATAGACACGTGTATTGTTTTTATAGATTAAAAATAAGTATTTTATATCTACTTACGTAATTACTTTTTTTCTTCCATCTATTTATAATAGATATTAATTAATGTTAATAATTATATTAATATTATTATATATTATATTTTTATTATATTATGTGTATTATATATTATATTATATTATATTATATTATATTATATTATATTATATTATATTATAT